GTCTCCGGCTGGGGTTCCCCACTCACCCCGCCCCTTTCCCGACCACCGCCCCCGGCCTGCTACAGCCTCGCTTCTCTCCCTAGACTCCCGTCCAGGGGCGCCGCCACTGGGTTGCTCCCCGTCCCCTCGGCCCGGCTCCTGGGTTGCCCTAAGGGCAGCACCAGGGTCTCACACCCAGACTCTACTGGTAGCCCCGCAGAGATAGCCGAAGCCCCCACACCTTTTCGCAACGGGTGACCGCAGCACGGTTGGCACGCCTGTCACATGTCTACAAACAAAAACAAACTCTCCGTCACGTCTCCGTCCCGGGACCCCATTCAGCCCCCCATGCCGGGGCGCCGCCCGACGCCGGGTGAAGGTCTGGGGGGGGTGCCCTGGGGCGCGGGGGCTCTGATCCCCTCCAGGGGCTCTCAACCTCCCTGCACGCAGCCCCAGGACGCGGTGCACAGTGTCCCGGGTTCATTCATTGCCCTCCGCCCACCCTCAAAGTTCCCTTCGCGACCCCGGCCGCGCTACTTACCCGGTGGGGGCCGCTGCAGAAGACGGTTCCGCGGCGGGCGCCCGCTTTTCCCCAGGCTCTGCCCCCGCGGTGCTTGGGGCGCCGCTGTCCGAAGCGGCCACCGGCTCAGCAGGGTGGGCGCCGCCGCGGCTCGCGGCTCCGTGGGGCGGCGGCACCGCCAGAGGCTGAAAATCGCTCCCGCCCGCCGCCGGGTCCGCGGGCTCCGGGGACGGGGAAGTGGAGGAAGACAGTGGAGAGGCAGCGAGGAAGAGCGGCGGCTCCGGCAGCTGGTCCAGCTCCACACTCCGCACTTTGCGCAGCTGCCGCCGCCGCCAGTCCGCCCGCTCGCGGCCTCCGCTGCCCACCTCCCGTAGGAGCCCTGCGGCCGCCGCGGGCGCGCTGCTCGCCTTCAAGGCCCCTCCGCTGCCGCCCGCCTCGGGGCTCACCGCCCCGGCGCTCGGGAATCCCGACGACGAGGCGCGATTGCCCGCCGCCGCCGCCATTTTCTCTCGCGGGCTACATTCGCTCGGCCCCTGTGAGGGAGGGAGGAGGCGGGGAGAGCACAGGGGGCGGGCGGACGGGAGGGCGCTGCGCCGCCAGCGTAGGGCTGCCTACGCCGACTGCGTGAGTGCAGCCTGCCTGGCCCGGCGGCGGATAGTCAGGCGGGCGGGGCGCGGGGTTTGTCCGGAGGTGGAGGGCGGGACGGCGGCGGCGCTGCAGGTCGCAGGGAGTGGGTCGTGCTCTCGGTAGGGCGGGCGGGACGGCGCTAAGGGCTCGGACGTAGCCTCCGCAGAGCTGCTTGGACTCTGCGCGCTACGGTCGCCGCACCGCCAGGTAGTCCTGGGCCGCCCCGGCCAGAGGAGGAGTCTGGGCGGTTACAGCTCGCCGCCTTCTCTCCTCCGCAATCTCTGCCCCGCCTGCCGAGAGCTGGCTCTACTGGAGTTATCAATTCCGAAATCGATAATTCCTTGGAATGTGTTTGTTTGGTGCATGGAAGGGGACCCAGGGAGGAAGGTTTGCAGGCTGTCATTCGAACTGCCCCTTGCGGAGGCGTTGGGAGACTGGGACGCGGGCGGGTCCCCCTCCCGCCCACTCCGGGAACTACGCACAGGTGGCGCCCGGGGGTGTAGTCTGTAGCAAAGCGAAAGAAACCAGTAGACGTGCTGCTGCAGGCCAGAAAAATTAAGGGTTTTTTTGTTTCATTTTGGTTTAAGTTTCCTCCACTGTTGTCCCCCACCTCTCATTTTACAAACAACAAAACTTCAGTTTCACTGAAAGCCTTGTTCCTGAAGTCGCTGGTTTCTCACACTCCTCCCACCAACTACCACTTGACTAGTAAGAGATGAATGTCCTGTGAATCTTTGTTTTTGCCTTAGCTTTGTCTTTGAATGACACAGGACCAGACAGAGCACGTTTGGGGAAGGAACCAACTCTTTGCAGGAAGTGTTTGATAATGTCATCCTTAGCCTGGCCCAGATCCTCCCCAAATCCAAATCCGACTCTCTTCTCAGCGCGTCCTCTCCCATCGGGGTCTGGCGATGGTCCCGGGTCCCTCCACCCCCATTCCCTGCAGTGTCCGGTAGCCAAACTGGACGTTTGGAACCCCTTAAATCTCTGGGGAGTTGCTTGGTGGGTCTAACAAGAACAACATCCCTAGGGAGTCTGCAGTAAGACACTTTGGAATGGAAAAAGTACAATTTACATATTAATGATTTTCAACCTTTCTTCCAGCTGGGTAGAGTGTTGTAGCAGTGCTCTTCCTTCCTTTCCTAAAACTGGTTTGTCTGCAATGGGAAATCTCCCAGAGACAGGAGCAGCGTCCCTAGATTTCTTTTTGAGAAACATTAAATATGTTTATTTAATTGGGTGGGAAGGCTTCTCACGCAAGGAGAGGAATGAGTAGGTCGGGAGTCTTCATAATACTTAGACAAAAGCCTGAACTGAACTATCCATGTAATAATTCCTTTGACTTATTGATAATAGACAAAATTAAATCTCCCCTTTCTAGATGTAACTGTTAAGCTGAGGAGCAAGGTGATATTGGACGGATTTTTAAGGGCTCTTGATTTCATATTAGTTCCACGTTTTGAATACTGGTACAACATCTGATAGTTTTAGATAATTACATCCAACGGTACAAATTTTGAAAGTTTAGATAAATCTGTTAAAATTTTAAGTCTAAATTTAGTCTATAATTATATGCTCTTTAAACGATGGCCAAGTGTATCAGTCAACCAAACTAGTTCCAGGATCTTTGATTGCCACACCCATCAAATGCTAAATTAAAAAGCATATGCTTCCCACCTTTCCATTTAGACCTAAAAACTTTTAAATTTGCATATACATGGTCAGGTACCTGTAAGTGAGAAAAGTGGAGCCAGGAGTCTTTCAAAATTGGGACAATTTTGAAGTTGGTGGGAGTAGCTAAAGTAAAACAGGTTTCCAGCAAATCTTTACCTTTGCCTATTGACCAAGGAGAGATGGGTACCAAAGGCAACATTAGCAGCCAGCTACATTATATGATCTCTAGCCACCATATGTGAAGAGAACAAAAAGTCATTAAGAAGACAAGAAAGAAGGAAAAGGTCAAAATGGATGTCAGAAGAGACTTGGAAACTTGCTCTCCAGTGTAAAGATGCTAAAGCAAATGGAAGAAGAGATCCAAGAGCTAAACAGAAAATTTCGAAGATCAGCTAGAAAAGATAAAGCCAAATACTATAATAAAATATGCAAAGATTTGGAATTAGAAAACCAAAAAGGAAGAACACAGTCAGCATTGAAACTGAAAAAAAAAATTCAAGCCTCGACTTTCGTCATTAATGAAAGATTCTCCTGGCAAATTATTGAATGATGCAGAATGCATCAAGAGAAGATGGAAAAAATACAGTCATTGTACCAAAAGGAAATGGTTAATGTTCAACCATTTCAGGAGGTACCATATGATCAAGAGCCAATGATGATACTCAGGGAGGAAGTCCAAAGTGCATTGAAAGAATTGGCAAAGAACAAGGCACCAGGAATTGATGGAATACAAATTGAAATCTTTCAAGAAAGTGAGGCCGCACAAGAGGCCCTCACTCATCTCTGCCAAGAAATTTGGAAGACAACTATCTGGCCGACTGATTGGAAGAGATCCATATTTGTTCCCATTCCAAAGAGAGGTGACCCAATGGAATGTGGAAATCATCGGACAATCTCTTTGATAGCTCAAGCGAGTCAAGTTTTGCTAAAGGTAATATAGAAACGGCTACAATCATACATTTAACAGAGAACTTCCAGAGGTTCAAGCTGGATTCAGAAGAAGCTGTGGAACAAGAGATATCATTGCTGATGTCCGATGGATCTTGGCTGAAAGCAGAGACTATCAGAAAGATGTTTACCTATGCTTTATTGACTACGCAAAGGCTTTTGATTGTGTGGATCATGACAAGTAATGGACAACATTGCGAAGTATGAGTATTCTAGAACACTTAATTATACTTCTGAGAAATCTGTACCTGGACCAAGAAGCAGTTGTTCGAACAGAGCATGGGAACACTTAATGTTTTAAAATTGGGAAAGGTGTGCAACAAGGTTGTGTTCTTTCGCCATACTTACTCAACCTGTATGCTGAGCAAATAATACGAGAAGCTGGGTTCTATGAAGAAGAACGTGGCGTCGGGATTGGAGGAAGACTTATTAACCACCTGCGATACACAGATGATACAACTTTGCTTTCTGAAAGTGAAGAGGGCTTGAAACATTTACTGATGAAGATCAAAGAACACAGCCTTCAGTATGGATTATATTTCAATGTCAAGAAAGCAAAAATCCTCACTACTGGACCAATAAACAACATTCTTATCAATGGAGAAAAGATTGAAGTTGCCAAGGACTTCATTCTTCTTGGATCAGCTATCAACATTCGCAGAAGCAGCAGTCAAGAGATCAGACGACGTATTGCATTGGGCAAATCTGCTGCACAGGAACTTTTTGAAGTATTGAAGAACAGAGATGTCAGCTTGAGGACTAAGGTGCGCCTGACCCAGGCCATTGTGTTTTCGATAGCCTCATATGGATGCGAAAGCTGGACAGTGAATAAGGAAGATGGTAGAAGAATTGATGCATTTGAATTGTGGTGTTGGAGGAGAATACTAAAAGTGCCATGGACTGCCAAAAGAACCAATAGATCTATTTTGGAAGAAGTGCAGCAGAGTGCTCCTTGGAGGCCAGGATGGCTAAATTTTGTCTCTCATACTTTGGAAATGTTGTCAGGAGGAAACAGTCACTGGAGAAGGATGTCATGCTGGGTAAGATGGAGGGTCAGAGAAAAAGAGGAGGACCCCCAACGAGATGGATCGGCCAGGTGGCATCATTGATGGCATCGAGTTTGGCGTTGGTAGTGAGGTTGGCCCAGGATCGGACATTGTTTCATTCTGCTGTGCTCGGTTGCTATGAGTCGGTTCTGACTCGACGGCACCTGACAACAACAACAAGCCACCATCAACTACTACTAAAAACTCGAGTATTGGATTGTTTTTGGCATTTTGAGTCATTTTCCTCTTAATCTTTTATATAAATATTTGAGTTGTCACTAAGCATCTATACATCAGTCAACTGATTTTTCTTTTAAGAGACAAAAATAATCAAAGGACAGGCTTGACGGAAAAGGTGTCCTCCCTCTGCCTTAAGTTAATATAGTCTTTGTGGAGAATCCAACTGCAAGGAATTGTTACCATAAGTTCAGATTCTTAAACTTGGTTAAACTGTTTAAAAAACTCCTTGTTTTGGTGCTATTGTGCCTGCCCCCCTTCCCACTCACACTTTTTTTTAGTGACTGCAGAACAGCATATGTCAAATATCAAGCTAATGTGTACCGTGGCATGCTTAATTTGATGTCTTTAATAGCGTAAAGGAGACTGGAGTCTCTTCAAAGGTTGCTTTTAATACTAAAAACTTGCATTATTTCCATGTTCTTTGTATCTGCCTTTACTGGAGGATATGGGAATCCTGATGTGGTGCTGCGGGTTAAAGTGCTGGACTTCAAGATTGGTTTGAACTGAAAGGTCAGCAGTTCGAGCTCACCAGCCGCTCCTCAGAAGCCCTATGCAGGGTTGCTTGGAGTTGGAACCAACTTGACGGCACTTAACAACAACACTGGAGGAAATAAACTTTGTAGTAATTTTACTTATGCTACTGGTGGTGGTTATGTGCCGTGGAGTCGGTTCCGACTCATAGCGACCCTGTACAGGGTTTCTGAGGCTGTAAATCTTTACAGGAGCAGAAAGCCTTGTCTTTCTCCTGTGGAACAGTTTGCAATTTGCAGTCCAATTCGTAAGTTTCTTTAACCTTTGAGGAGTGCTTTCCAGACCACTGCTTCCACATAGTGCTTCATGGAATCACCTAAGTGACACCTCAGTTCCCACATCACATTCATTTGGAGAAACATTGGTGCGTTTCCTCATGGTGCACAAATATCACTCACTTGAGAATGAAGAAACATACTGTGCACTGGCAGAAATAT